GCGTTTTTTAAACTAGTTACATTAAAAAATCTTTTTTCATACTTGATGCAAGTATAATCTTTGAGAGACTACTTTCTTCAGTACCTAGCTAATAAAGGAAATGAAATGATTATAACCAATATCATAAAGCCCTTTAAAATTCAAAAAGAACTTGGTACGCATTATTTCAGACACCTCTCAGAACAATGCTGAGGTAGGTACTCCATTTTGCAGACAACTCAACAGATTCAGAGAAGACAGGTGATCTGTCCACAGATAGCTGCTCAGTGGAAGAACCAGGATGAGAATCCAAACCTTCTAACTCCAGTACTGTTTGCACAAATTCAATACAAGATTTGAATATTCCACAGGAAGATTCTTTTTTAGGGTTAACAGAGAGTAGCTTATTAAAACATACACTCCTATTGTTATATCAAACTTTTAAATACTGCTTTCCAAAAACTAAAAATAATATTTTAAGCTATTATACAGAAGACATTCAGTTGGGCAAAGAAAATTATCAGGTAATGACTATTATCTATAACTTACCAAGTTTGTTTTTATTAAGTAATCATAACAAAACATATAGTCCTGTCTGTGTCTTCAGACAATGATAACACAATCAAGAACTCAGTCATGCTTGATAGCGACAGAGACGTTTTAAAAGTTTAGAGAAGGATAAAGATGTGTTTCATGTTTTTACTCTCTTCGAAGTAGTGGAAATTTTTTCCAGTTAACAATCCTCAAGATTTTTGTCCCAAACTTAAAATGTAAAGTAAAAATCTAAACCCTGCATCCTTCATATTAAACTATAAAATTAATTTTCAATAAGAAAACCAAACTATACATAAGTTAAAATTCTTTGAAATTAAACACTGTTTTCATTTCCCCAGTGTGTTTCACAGAAACACACAATCAGAAGTAGTAATCAATTGCCAAAACATTCCCTAAAAGATAGAGCCTCACCCTCCCACTCTAGTCCCTCCCCAAAAAATGAACTTCCTGAAATATACCTCATAAACCACTCCGACACTTTCTGGAGTCAAGTTCAGACCATACGATAACTAGAAAATTACTTGCATTCATTCCAAGGCTACAATCACAGCTAATTACCAACTTAAAATCAGCTAAAAGCTTTCAACCACAATGATGCAAAAGTGAGCACTACGGAAAATATCAAAGTGTCATTTATTTTTGCACTCCTAGCAACTATTTTTCCTTTCTCATTACTACAACAGAAAAACCAATCAAAATATAATTCAAAGATGCCTGCTGAGATATTAAGGAATAAAACTATAAGGAAAAAGTTAAGGGTATAAATAACAATAGTTAAATTTAGAACACATCTACAGTGGTCCCTTTTTGAAAAACTATACGGTAGTTTCCTAAAAAGCCTTACATTAGCAAGAATGCCAAAATTCCAAAACTTAACAGTAAAAATACAAGTAAAAACAGGCAGTGACTTTTTTCCCCACACGAAGCTGCATTTTTAATCGTTTTAATGGTTTGAACATTCTACAGTTCCTGGCTCCGTAGCCAGTTCTCACAGGGGCCTGGGCAGACGGGCGATACTGACGTCTGCAGACAGTTTTAAAGCTCTGGCAGAAAAAAAACCCTCCCCGGGTACCTTGCGGTACCAAATTGACAAATGCAGCAGACACAGCACGCGTTTTACAGAAAGGGGGCTCCCTTCCTGGCTTTGTTGTCTCCGGGAGACTGCATTTAAACTGAAAGAGCTACCCTCTGCCCGGGGAGAGGCGCCGCGAAGTGCGCGCAGGGCCAGGGCGACGGGCACGTGTCCCCCTGCGGCGCCCTCCGCCCCTCCCGCGGCGGCCGGGCCTGCCGCCCCGCGACCCCCAGCCCCGGCCGGGGGATGCTGGGCCGGGGCGGCCGCAGGGCCCGGGGCTGGGAACGCCGGGCCGGGGCCGCCTCTGCGGAGGGCCTCCGGGGGGGCCGAGGGGCGGGGAGGGCGCAGAGTTTCCTCCCGGGATTCCAGTCGGGCCCGAAAGATGCCTCCCCACGCCCCCCGCCCCGATAAAAATGAACACCGGCCTTCGCGGGCCTGAGGAGGAGGCCCTCGCCGGAGAGCGCCCCTCTAAGTGAGGCGGGGGTCCTAGAGGGGGCGGGCCCGCGCCGCCGCGCTCCGGGTCCGGGCCCAGAAGGAGGGAACCGGGGCCGGCCCTCCGCAGCCTGGGGCGTTAGAGCGGACGCGGCCAGGCCTGCGGGACTCTGAGGCGGCGGCCAGACCCCCGCCCGCCGGCCCCGACCGGACCGGGCCGCGGCCTCCACGCCCCCTCCCCCTCCCAACGTGCGGCTGCCTCGGAGCAGAGACGCGGGCTGGGGGAAGGCGCAGGCCTCCGGAGCGCGCGAGCCGCCCCGCCGGTACTGACCCCTCGAGCCTCCGCGGCCGCTACTCGCCCGGGTCCCCGGTCCGCCGGCCCCGACCCCGCACCTCAGCCTCCACCGCCGCGTCCGAGCGTCTCTGGCCCCTCTCGCTCTGTTTGTTTTTGTTTTGTTCTACCCAGTAACACGGGGGTGAGAGGGCGGCGTTCATTGGCCGAGGCGAGGAGGGCGGCTGGCCAATCGCGGCGGTGGAGCGGGAGCTGCGGTGGAAAAGGGAGAGAAGTGAAACGTGGAAAGCTGGGCGCAGGAGGGCGCATGCGCTGTGGCTCCAGGGACTGGCGGGAGTGGGAGCGGGGCGGGAAGCTGGAGTAGCGGGAGGTTGGGAGGTGAGGCGGGAGGGAGGGAGGTGAGGCGGGAGGGAAGCGTGGGCGAAGGGCAGTGCCTTGGGGTGGGGACTAGGGTGAGGCTGCCGTGACCGGTTCACCCATTCCCCTCACTGGGCAGTCAGCAAACTTGGCTAAAGCAAAGGCTTTGGGCTTCCCGAGGGTCCTGCCTCCGTTTCCGGACACACCTCAGGGGAATACCCTCGTTCTCTCCAGTTCCTTCTCCTGTTGGCTCTTGCGCACTCCTTGGCTCCAACTCTGTGCAAACCGCGTGCTAAGAACTTTATCTCCGCGAATGCTCTCAACCCTTTAAGATAGAAATCATTCCCACCTCACAGATGAGAAAACAGACTCAAAAACTCTTTAAAGTCCCTTTGCTAATCATGACTACTCAGGCCACTGGGGTTCAGACTCCCGTGTTCCCAATTCCAAGGCTGGAGTTCTCAACCTCGGCACAGAAAAACCTTTGCTAGCTTCCCATTGCCTGCCTGTTGCATCAGTACCTCAGCCAGGCATTCGAGGCCCCACAGTGTGACTTCAAGACTTTCTGGACATGTCTCTCCACACCCTGCCCAGTCCACACACACCCTTCACTGGAACCCACTTGGACCACTCACAGCTCTGTATGCTTCCCCACCCTCCTGACAGTTCTTTATCAAATCAATTTGAAATGCCTCTCCTCTTATCTCCCATATCTGCCTGATGCTCTCCCGCATAGGCCTTCTTGACCCTCATGACTTGATATGATCTTCGTGTCTCCTGATTCCTCACACTACAGGCTTGTTGTACCTCTGGGGGCACTGATCACATTCTACCTGGCGTTATGTTATCTGAGTTCCTGTCCTAGCACTTCTCCCCATTAGACTGTCACCTTGTTGAGGGTAAGGCCTGTGTCTTATTCATCTGTTATTGTTGTAGTACTTAAGAAGGCACCTTGCACATTTATTGTACCTGTGCAATAAACACACTTTGTTCTGAGTTCACAAAGGTCCTCAGCAGTTGATGCTCATCTCCATTTCCTGGGCTGGGACCTCCTGGCATGGCCAGCATCTGAATTAGCCTCATGAGTCACTTTTACTTTTTTTGTTTTTTTTGAGGAAGATTAGCCCTGAGCTAACATCTGCCGCCAATCCTCCTCTTTTTGCTGAGGAAGACTGGCTCTGAGCTAACATCTGTGCCCATCTTCCTCTACTTTATATGTGGGACGCCTGCCACAGCATGGGTTGCCAAGCAGTGCCATGTCTGCACCCAGGATCCCAACTGGGAAACCCTGGGCCACCGAAGCAGAACGTGCAAACTTAACCACTGCACCACCGACTGGCTCCCACTTTTACTTTTTAAAAGCAAAGCTTCCTGGTCACCCAGTGTGGTGTTTTTTGGTTTTTTTTGTGTTTTGGTGGTTTTTTTCCTGTCACCTGCAGCTGTCTCCTTTCCTTTCTCTGCCAGGGCTTAACTATCCTCCACTGATGAGTAACTGCTGGCTCCTATTTTTCATTCATCCCTCTCTTTCTCCACATTTTGCCTTTTCTCACTCTCTTCCAGTTCCTGACCCTTTTCTCCTTCCTTCCTGCCACCAACCTCCTCTGACTCCTGCTAGATTCTTTCATTTAACTCATTCATTTAATATATTTATTAAGCACCTATGGCATACCCAGGTTGCAATGGATAAGCACCTCAAGATCTATGAGATAACAAAAGAGTAGGATATGATTACCCATTTTTAAAAGCATCTAAAATAATCTCTATCTTTTAGCAACTTACCCCAAAAGAACCCATCATGGAGTAACATGTTCACATCCTTTTTAAGCATCACCTCAAGAACTACCCATGATGCCTGGCATCCTAGGCCACACCTTAGGAAATGCCTTTTTCGTTAGGTGTGGTTGATCAGCTTGGACCAGGCAGTCAGGAAGTGGGGTTCTAGTCTAGCTTCCCCCCTAACCACCTGTAAGAACTTCAGCCCCTCCCAGGACCTCTGTTTTTTCAGCAGTAAAATTCAGAAATTGGGTTCAATTAGTAGTTCCCAAGGTGTTTTCCAAAGAACATGAATTTTGTGGAACTTTAATGGATATCACAAAAAATATGGGGGAGGGACTGTTCCATAATCAAATCAACTTGGAAAAAAATTGTTTTAATGAAGTTAAAGTGGTTTTTGTGTTTGTTTTGACCCCAGCTCTTCTCAGTATCTTTAATAAGCTAATGTACCTTGATCTAGAGAATCTTGGAGGACCAAAGTAGGAAGCTAAGTAACGTTTCCCCAACTTATTTAAACACAGAATCTTTTTTTTTTTCCAGATACCCCAAAGTCAGTGTTTCTTCAAAGCCCATTTGGGAAATACAGATGACAGCTGCTATCACCAACATTCCCTGCAGGTGTATTGAACACTGGCCACCTGCACCTTTTCTAAACGTTAAAAAGAATAAAAAATAAAGCGAATAAGCTGGAAAATAGAAAAGTATCCAAGTGCCAAATATTTTTGCCCACCAAATCAATCCACAAATATTTATTGTGTGCCTCTGTGAAAATCAGGGGGCTGATCCAGCTGTGTTCTTGGCAAAAGGCATTATGCTCTACCTTAGGGTAGAGTAATGTCTGAAGTATAGAGCTGCCTAGGCTTCACAGTGTACATTTTCATTTCACATTATAATAATTTACAAACTGACTTTCTGTTTCCTAAAGCCCTGTGCCTATGGGCTTATGTTAATTTAGCTGTTGGATAAAAGAAAAGGAAAGCGCCCTTCCCCTTAACTCCAGAATGATAGAATTACAACTTTCATTTCCCTTAAGAATGACTCATTCCAGTTTAGGAGAGCAAGGACCACCACTGTTGCCCAGGATAAGACAGCTGTTCAGAGGTGGCAACGGAAACTCTGCGCTGTGTGATCAGATAGACATACACAGTGTCTCTCTCATCTTCCCCGTACCCCCAGGTTTAAGCACTATTGAGATGCCTAGAGGGACCCAAAGAGTGTTTGGTTTGTTGGGGTGTATGGGGATGAGGGTAGAGGATAGTTTCTAGTTTTTGCCTCTTAAGAAAAGTTGTTGACTGTGTCCCTAACTAGCTGTGTTGCTTTGGGTGTTTCATTTCCTTTCTCTCAGTCAATTGAATGCCTCAATTTCTTGTACTATAAAAGGAGTTGGCCCCTGCAAGGGGACTTTGAGAAGCCATTCCAGTTCTGACACCCCGTGATGCTGGACAAGGCACTGAGATCGTACCAGAGTCCTGGGAGTGGGGTACAAGAGATGAGAGAATTTGCCTCTCAAATACTCAGGGGACAATTCCACCAGGTGTGAACAGAGGGACTGTCACTCTCAACTGAGGGGCTTTCCCTGAATGCAAAGCTCGGATAATATCACCTCCCTCCATCCCAAAGGCAAGAGAGAAGGCTGGTGTAGCATTGGGAGTGCTAATGAGCTAATGTGGGTAAATTACTTGGAAATGCACAGAGGCAAGGTAAAAGATAAGCACCTCTATTACTGTTATTGCCGGTGGGACTCTCCAAGGCTTTTTCGTTCTTTGAGCAAAGCCCCATTTTAAAACACAAGTTTCTTACTAAGCACTGTTTATGTCCTTGAATGAGATCAAGAAAAGGCCATCTCTCTCTGGGGACTAAGGCAGGTTTTAGCCCACTTCCTTCAGAAGAACTTTCAGATGCTACTGTCATTTGCAACAACTTCATCTACCTGAACTGACACCTTGCCTCCTATTTCTTCAAACCAAGGACTGAATTTTAGGAATTCCTGTAAGGCACGGAATTGCTCTTTAGCACAAATGGTAAAAGACATGAAACATGCTCTGAAGAAAGAGAGAGCTGCATCAAGAATTCTACTAATGATCATGGCAGCTGACATTTGTGTTGTGTGTTAAGGCTTTCTGAGCACTTTCACCTACACTTTCACCCCCTCTTTATGAAGTGGACAAGCAGACATCACTCTCCCTGCTTTAAAGATGAGGAAAATGAGGCTTAAGCAGGTCACTGGAAATTGTGGGACTTTTATGCTAAAAGGACATTTGGGCATCCCTAATCCAACCCCTTCATTTTACAAATGGAGGGACAGAGACCCAGAGAAGTTAAGCAAATTGCCCAAAACCACACAGCTTGTTAGTAGCAGAGCCAGAGTGCAAATGAGGTCTCAGTGTACCAGCCTTGCACAGGGTGGGGAACATGTTGACAGGGGGTATCCAGACCTTCCGGCACGCAGGCCTGGACTGGATTCTCTCTGCCACTCAACTTTGAGTATCTTGAATAAAAGTTAAATATCTGAGCCCATTTCTGGCCCCCAGAGCCTCCTGCTATCAAATGAGTCCATCTTAAGGTCCTGGAAGTGAAAAGGAAGGGGAGTCAGAGGTGGGAAGGTTTTGTATGATGTTCAGAAGCTGTTGGTGGGGGCCTTTGCAGGAACCTCTTTCCTAGAGTAAAGAGCATAGAGTAAGGTGAAGCACAGTACGAAGCAATAGGTACAATATTTTAAAATAGTATATACCAAAAAATGCTAATAAGGTTTTACTTCCCCAATTTCAGTTTTGAGGGGTTTTCTTGATGCATTTGTCTTTGTGAGTTTTTCTCCTCCTACCAAATCACTCCTGCTACCTTAGGATTTAAAAACAAGTTCAATTAGGGTTTATAAACTCCAGCAGATCATCTTTTCCCCAAATGCCCATGAATTTTAACACATTTCCTACACCTGGCCTGAGTTCTAAGCCTGTGAAAACTCCAGCTCTTCAGAATTTTGCAATCACGGGACCATTCAGCACGATGCTTTCCAGTGCTTACCACACTGTCACATCCTGCATCTGATTAATTGTGTTGAGTCAGGATAGAAAAGAACTCTAATTGTATCTCTGGGGGCTTTATTTGCATTCTTCTGGAACACTAGGTCCTCAGGTAGCCTTCACATCTCACAAAATTCATCCTCTTTTATCCAGTGAGCCCCCGCTGCACTTAAGCTGCCATTATGCTTTCCTCTCCTGTATGACCACAGAGTTTCTGCTTGCCTCCCAAATGAGGCAATAGAGCCCAAAGAGCCTTGTATGGAAATGAGGGATTCTTCATGCTGGAAAATAAGAGGAATGAGTGGTCGTGGGTTGTGATTAAGAGAGCCTGATCTTCAAGGAGACGCAACCAGGGAGGGCTGGAGAGGGGTGGGCTCAAGAGGTTGGTGCTGGGTAGAGGGAGACACACAAAGAAAAGGAAGTTAATGAAGGGAACTAATCAAACCTCTATTTGTACAAAAAGAAATAAAAGTAGTGGAAAATAAGAACAGGGGCAAGCCCAGAGAGATACTGCTTTTTATTATTAAATGTTTATAATAAAAATGAAGTTAGCCCTATGGCAAGTCAGAGACAGAGGAAGGTCCTGGGAGATGGCCTAGTGAGGCCAACTTGCTCTGAATACAGATGAAAAAACTGAGGTCCAGAGTGGGGCAGAGGTCTGGCTCCAGGCAAGTTACTGACAGCCTAGTACCTCTTCCCACTCCATGCAACTGCCTTCCTTTATCCATATGTTTCTCTGCATGTGTCTTGCCCTTCAGCACTCCCTTCCGTCCTTCTTTCCTTCCTCCCTTTCTTTCTTTCTTTCCAAAAAGGGTAGCTTCCGGAAAGAAAAACAAGGACTGACATTTTTAAGCAGCTCCAGGAAATCCCCAAACTCTGCGCTTAAAGCAACATGATTGGCAGCGCTGCAGCACAATTGGCAAAGCCAGCATCGAAACAGGAACTAGCAGGCAGCCAGGCGCCCTCCAAGAACCAAGTTTTCTAAAGAAAGAAAAAATAACTCCTGAGGGGGCAGCTTAAAGTCTTACCACCTTTTCTTGTGTTGTGTATGTGTGTGTGCGTTTGGTTTTTAGAAAGTTCTCTCTGAGGGCAATGAATCTAGGTCAGTGATTTATTAGTGAGCTTCAAAGGGTGTGAGAACATCTGCAAATTTTATTATGAATATGCATTTTCCAGCACAAGGAGTCTATAGCCTTTTTGAGTGAGATTACAAAAGGGGTCATGTCCCAGAAAAGATGAAGAACTTCTGGAATACAGCATGTTATTAGGTGTGGGCCCATTGTCAGAGTGGGTGTTCCACCAAGAAATGCCACCGAACTTTCTTCTGTATGTCAAACCAGGTACAGAATCACAGTGCCTTCAAACTAACCACAACCAGGAGACAAAACAAAACAAAAGTGGTTTTTAAGACAGCAGTGGTCCTGAAAAGAGATGGGATGCCATCTTGGCATCCAGTCAGGTATGGCAGCTACCTTCCATTATGTTGACCTCAGTGGGCCAGAAATATAAGCTGAACCTCCCAACATTTCCTAAACAAAGGTCAACGCTCCATCACCCGTGAATTTATCTTTAGAAAACTCTTGAATTTATTTGAGAGGAAGCAGTATATGGTGTTTCTCAGAATATGCTCTGCAGATGTCCCACCACAGAAGGGTTCCAGGATGAAGTAAATTGGGGGAAACTCCTTATCATCTCCCCTCTTGTAAAACCACAATAAACGATGGTGTTTTAAAGGCTCTGAGAAATCCTACCATGAATAAACCCATTTAATTTTCTTTAACCCAATGTTTGCTGAACTCCCTTGACCATAACACTCTTTTTTACATGCTTCTATTCACATCTTACAGAATACACACTGGAAAGCAGTGCTGTAGTAGAATGGGAGCCGGGCTAGAAGGCGAGAGGCCTGGATTCCAATCCTAGTTCTGCCGCTAATCAGATGTGTGAGCTTAAACCATTCGACTGCTCTGAAGGTGTAGACCTTAGAAGATTTCCCAGATTCTTTCTGGGGCTGTGATCTATCCAGTTTGATTTCTGGGTTGGCTGATGGCCTAAGATTCCACTTACAGCCCTGTTCTGTGATTATGCATATTTCCATCCAGGAGACCGTACAGTACCTGCTACCCTTACAAGCCACAGTCTCTTAAGAATACTTGGGAGAGATAAAGTAAATGTCTAGGCACTAGAAGAGAATGGAACCAAAACTGCAAAGCTGGGGGGCTTTATTCACTGTGATGAGTGCATGTGGTGGGCCTGAAGCTGGAGACCTTAGTCAACACAAATGCAGCTGACTGGTAGCCATATGCGTTTGATGGGGCTGGTCTTTTGAAAATTACACAACCTCTTTGAAGCCAGCAAGGTTTTTTTACCAAGCATGATCACATGACCTTAAGAGCAAATACCTCTTTTCAAAGGACCAAAGTTGTTCCCACAGGCATTATCATCCTCTGGGAGAATCCCCTATCTCAGAGAAGAGGAGTAGTGACTTTAGCTCACTTTCAAAGGTGTTTGAGTCAGTAACAGCCTTGACAGCAAACTTTCCCAGGGAATACTAGAAGCCTCAGAACACTTTAAGCACCGCCTGTGAAGGTCTTGAGTGCTTGCACAATCCGTGGGGAAGTAGCCCAGGGTGACGCATTAAGACTACATGTGCTTTCTGCAGCCTAGGCACAGGAA